TGAGACAAACGTAAGACAAACGTGAGACAAACGTGGGACAAACGTGAGACAAACGTAGGACAAGCGTGAGACAAGCGTGAGACAAACGTGAGACAAACGTGGGACAAACGTGAGACAAACGTGAGACAAGCGTGAGACAAACGTGGGACAAGCGTGAGACAAACGTGAGACAAACGTGAGACAAGCGTGGGACAAACGTGAGACAAGCGTGGGACAAACGTGAGACAAACGTGAGACAAACGTGAGACAAGCGTGAGACAAACGTGGGACAAGCGTGAGACAAACGTGAGACAAGCGTGGGACAAACGTGAGACAAACGTGAGACAAACGTGAGACAAGCGTGGGACAAACGTGAGACAAGCGTGGGACAAACGTGAGACAAACGTGAGACAAACGTGGGACAAACGTGAGACAAACGTGAGACAAGCGTGAGACAAACGTGGGACAAGCGTGAGACAAACGTGAGACAAACGTGAGACAAGCGTGGGACAAACGTGAGACAAACGTGAGACAAACGTGAGACAAGCGTGGGACAAACGTGAGACAAACGTGAGACAAACGGGAGACAAACGTGAGACAAACGTACGCACGTTTGGTACGGGGCCCCAACGCGAACAAACAAACCGGATTCGCGAATTGTCTGCCCAATCAATCAAACTTTATTTCTATAGCACTATTTGTGCAAAAACACGCAAGATATATAGTGCTTTACAGGCATGAACAATACAAGTGAAATTGTAGACTTGGCCAAGTCCACGTCCCACCAGGGCCGGATTAAGATTGTGTAGGCTACAGGTACTGTGAGGCCCCCAGTAATATTTTCGAGAGGAAAACAAAGTTTAAGAGAAATAAAATTATTTTTCACAAGGCTAACAACAAATACAATTCAGCATTCACTGATGAAATAACTGCTCACTTCATCTCTGGAGGCCCTCCAGCCCCGTGCCTTGACCCGGCCCTGGGTGCCACGCCCCTCGGGGCAGTTGACTCGGACGAAAGGAAGCGATCAGAGGGGGTGGCGCATTTCCTCTCCTTCCTCGGCAATGCCCTTTTCAGATTGCACCGCCGCCACCAGCTGCAGTGTTAACGGGAAACAGCCTGGAACTTGAACACCACAATGGCTCTTAGTCGTCGTCGACCTTCGTACGGCTGATCTTGATGTCGAGCTGCGACTACAATGTCACATTCAGGTGGTCAACGATGACTGTTACAAGCAATGGTTGTGCGATGCTCTTCATCTTTTATTTATTGTCGCTTGGTGTATGTATGTGTATGCATGTTAAACTTATTTCTCACCGTATGGGGGACGCACAACAAACTAAACATCAAGGGCAGTTCAGCAGAAATGAGTTTTAAATCAAGATTTGAAAGTGCATAGCTCTCGTGGGTTCCTCATATCGGACGGAACAGCGTTCCAGACGGCTGCAAAAGTGCGTCCACTCTCACTCGGAATGGCACTGCTCATACAGAGGTGGGAATTCTACATCCTTCGTGGGAACCACTTGACCAAAGGCAACTTGGTTCTCATGTTATACACCAATAAGGATGATATGTGCGCCTCCAATTAGCACCGTTGGCTACATACGGTGTGAAATAAGTTCAACATACCCACGTAATGCTTTTACATGACAGCTTTTTAGTTGTATAGTTGTGTGGATACGTTACAAGTCAATTCATTTCTGCACGTCCTCAGCGCGGTTTGCAATCGCGTCTTTTGCATCGTTAGCAGTGCCGGATTATCCTCGTAGCAAAAGTATAACATGTTACGGGCCCTGCGGTTTCAAGGGCCAAGCACTAAACGCTTTCAAGCTATCAATTCCGGTTCAGTGATTCTGCACTTGCTCTATTACTATAGTACTATACCGCCTTCAACTTTAATCAACTGGGCGTTTAAGGTTAGCGATTTGAACCTTATGGCGGGTACCCCGGGGCACCATAGTGACCCCGGCTCGCACAATGTCCGTGATGCAGTCACTGTTAGCCTGTTGATGGTCGGCGATGCGGCAATCGACTCGTCTCGACGAGCTGTACTCACGATGCACCACCACGGTGTGTACCGCGAGCGTTCAGGGTTTTTCGGCGCAATCATCGTCCTCGCTGCGTTTCGACATCGCGGAGTGGCACCGATTTCAGATTGATTGGTACCCCAGTCGCGGAGTGACGTTACACCCCGGGGAATAATAATGTTACCCAGAAATAAAATATTTAATTGCCTCGGCCATTTAGTATTATTTGGTACCCCGGGGTACCGCCATGAGGATCATTTGTCGTATTATCTGGCTGTATAGAAAATAAAAAAATACAATTACTTTACCATGCAAGTAAAACATTTTTTTTAGTATTTGTGTTTTTTGTTGTTATTGAGGGCCCCTGTATAACATCATGCTACAGGCCCCGCACTCGCTTCATCCGCCACTGGTCGTGAGTGTAATTTGCTTCGTTTGCACGACTCTCTCCAAAGGGTCGACGAAGGTGTCGGCTTCGTGACAAAAAAAGTAGCGGGGCGCCACGGTGGCTATGAGATGTCAACTCCCTCACCTGGTATGCAGGTGAACGTGGGTCCGATCCCGGCACTGATGCCTGGGTACTGTATATTGGGAGTTTGCGTGTCTCTCTCTCCCCGTGGTCGCGTAGATTTTTCTCCGGGTCCTCCGGTTTTTCCCTCCACATTAGAATCGACGTCACGCGTTTAAGAGTATTTGGCTGCTACACTGCGATACGTTTCCACACAACAAATCACTTCGTTGGGCTGTCATTTGTGGCCAGGTCGCTTCTGAAAAAGAGCTACTCTAGCTCAGTGGGCCTTAGCTGGTAACATAAAAATTAGTTTAGTTTGTAGTGGGGCCCAGTCTTTCCCAACACGGAGACGTGGATAGCAATTTAAATTCTCAAGTGAATCATTAATGCGATTGTAGCGATCGCCTTGATGGCACCGTGACCAACGTGGGCATTGAGAGCGGTGGTTAAAGTGGGGCAGTGTGTGCAGGTGCCGGCCAGAGGAAACAAGTCTGAAAGGAATTGTCGAAATGTTACACCGCTAAACAACTGTAATTGACACCTGGCCATCTTTTAAGGGAGATTGAAGTGATTGAGCGTCTAAAACTATATATTTTAACTAGATTAACATTTTCGTACAGATGATGATGGCCAATGTTAGTTGTTTTGCATCGTTCTTATAAGTAGTCAACTCTTGCTCAAAACAAACGTCAGTGTTAAAAGTGCAGTCAATTCTGGTCTCCATATCTTTGTGTCCACTGACATTCCCAACCAGCCATGACTACTGCGAGATGCCTGTCGAGACCAAACAGCCTGCGGGCTAGTGGCAGCTATTGTCTGCAGCAGCAGCATCAGGGGCAGGCAGGACCCACAGAGCCGTGAGGTTGCCAAGCGGGAGAGCTCTCGAGCGTGCAGACTGCAGCTGCACTGGGGATGGATGATGGGGGGGACCAGGCTATGCCACTTGCCAATCCAAGATGTTCACACTAAAGTTCTATGTTCACCTTGCCCACAAGTGTGCAGTGTTCCAGATTTTGAACAAAAGTTATTGTAACTGCAATCTGTAAGATTGTCCCGTGTACTGCACCCCAAAAGCTCGATGTGGTCGCCACTGCTGTACACCGATAACGTTTGAATTTTTTTTATTTTAAATTATTTTTTACAATGGCAGCAAAAAAAAACTTTGTCGACTGCTGTACCATGGTGACCAGTCACACGTGCAGCTCACACAACCACATTCTTACACAAACTCACAGGGCTGTAACGTATAATAATAAAGTATTGGGTGTAGAAGGGGCAATGCCAGAATTGTTGTTTGATGTTTCCGGTTACGAGGCAGAGACTGAAAATGTTTAGGAGTGTTTGGTTTTCATTTGTTTTGACAGATACAAAATAAAAATCCAGATGGGTGCAAACGAGTGACCGGGATACTGCCCTGTGTCATGTGTGTCCTGTGTGTCATGTGTCATGTGTGTCCTGTGTGTCATGTGTGTCCTGTGTGTCCTGTGTGCCCTGTGTCATGTGTGTCCTGTGTGTCATGTGTCATGTGTGTCCTGTGTCATGTGTGTCCTGTGTCCTGTGTGTCCTGTGTGTCCTGTGTCATGTGTGTCCTGTGTCATGTGTGTCCTGTGTCCTGTGTGTCCTGTGCCCTGTGTCCTGTGTCCTGTGTCATGTGTTTCCTGTGTCCTGTGTCATGTGTGTCCTGTGCCCTATGCCGTGTGTCCTGTGCTGTGTGTCCTGTGCCGTGTGTCCTGTGTGTCCTGTGCCCTGTGTGTCCTGTGTCATGTGTGTTCTGTGTCCTGTGCCCTATGCCGTGTCCTGTGTGCCCTGTGCCGTGTGTCCTGTGCCGTGTCATGTGTGTCCTGTGCCCTGTGTGTCATGTGTCCTGTGCCCTGTGTCCTGTGCCATGTGTTGTCATGTGCCATGTGTGTCCTGTGTCATGTGTGTCCTGTGTGTCCTGTGCCGTGTGCCCTGTGTCCTGTGTCCTGTGCCGTGTGTCCTGTGCCGTCATGTGTCCTCTGCCCTGTGTGTCATGTGTCCTGTGCCCTGTGTGTCCTGTGCCATGTGTGTTCTGTGTGTCATGTGCCCTGTGTCCTGTGTGTCTGTATCCCACCGACGTCTCTGTCGTCAACACAGCCCTGGTTATACACGAGACTGGGTGTGCGGTCTCCAGCAGCGTGGTCACAACTCTCAAGGGGACCACGCGTGTCCAATCCAAAGCAACGCACGGTCAGCTTGCAACAAACACATCGTGACTCCAATAAAACATCGACGCTGCAAAACCGAACGGCATGGAGGAAACGCCACGATTTCAGGAGGGCAAGTTCGACGGCTGTGTTTTGAGGCACCTACCCAAGCCAATAACACGTTCGTTTGTTTCGGCAACTCCTCCCAGACGAGACCGAGACGGGTTCTACACGAACACCGAAATGGTGAGGAAAGTGCCGCGTCTAAATTCACATTTCCGATCGTCGCTCACGGAAGAAATTGAGATTATTTTGTTAAATATTCAAAGCGCCTTTATTCATGCCAGCACAGCCACGTTAAGATAATCACCGCATCGCGAGCAGTGGGGGCCGCAGCCTTCCGCGGTTTCTGTCGTCTCCTTATCAGTTACAAAACATTCCTCTGTACATCACGACTCTCCAGGCGCGGGACGAGGCTCGGCTCACACAAGACGCCCACCGAGAGCAAGACGCCGGCTAACACGTTACAACCGACAGCCAGACTCGCCCCGTACGCACAAGCGAAGTGATTTTCACGTTGGATGAATGCAGACGACCGCCGAAGGGGTGATGGTGTTCACGCCGATGGCTCGCCATGTAACGGCTCGCGATGGACGTTGTCGTGATGTCCAACCCTGAAATAACTCGGCGGCTCGTGATCGCTGCACACAAATACCACGCAGTGTGGGGGTTTCCCTCGGAGCCTCGCCACTAGAACCGAGGAGCAGCGCCGTTTGCGAGTGTCCATTTGGACTTGGTGTGGCGGCGGGGAAAACGTTGGCAGCGTGTTTGTCTCTCAAATCGCAGCTGTTTGGTGACCACGCAAACATCTTCAGGACAGGGCATTGGGACACCAATTGGCAGTAACGGTGATGAGGTGCGTGCCGAGACTGGAACCAGTGTGGCTGAGAAGTGCAGCGTAGCGCGAACCGGCCACCTCAACATAGGTCCATACACGAAACCCCCCCGACAATCACACAACGGCAGATACGCACAGATAAAAGGCTCCCCCCCATTTAGTCTCGTAGGATGTGGTGTTAGCGAGCACCTCCATGTGCCTGCCGAGCACGAGTGGCTGGTTGGAACCAAGCCTTCACCGAGCTGCGTTGACTTCCCAGAGCGAGTAAACGACGACTCCGCGTTGGATGCGGCGGTGCCCTTGGGGGGATGAGGCTCGGACCAATCGGATGCCACTTTCCGAAGCGACAAAGTGCGTGCGTCCACTTGCTGGGATCGTAGCGCAGTGCGACAGCCGCATCGTAATCGCTCCACACACACAACGTACACATACAAATGTACACACACGTGTACACACAAGGTACACACACGCATCGACACACAAACATGACACACACAAAGTACACCTTCCTTTCCTTCCGTGTTCGTCCATCAAGGATTGTTGATGACCGTGACATGCTTCATTGGGATGAGTCTGGTGTACGGTGACAGCGCAGATGGCTGAAGAGGCCAATCTGAGCCCGGGACACTCCGTGGCACACTGGACATGATTTGTTGGTAGCAGCCTGCTGCTGCTGGGGGACGGCTCTCTTGATACGGGTCTTCTGCTGTTGTCTCCTCACCATGACATTTTTGATTCTGCTGGTTTCAGAGGTGGTAGTGCCATGCCAGATGAGATTTCACCAGGTCAGACGAATTCTTCAGCTCTCCAAAGAATATCTGCTTTGTGAGACGAGTGGCAGGCATCCTGGTCACACGGACGGCCCATCCGAGCTGTGCTATCATAAGGTGCGTGGGAATGCTCAGTATGTCAGCACCTCTGAGGACTTCAGGGTCTGGGATTCTGTCCTGCCGCTGATCCTCAAGAGCTTCCTCACACAGTTTAGGTGAAAGTGATTGAGTTTCCTGGAATGGTGGCGTTGTAATACTGTTCAGGTTTCGCAACCATAAGAGTTGGTAGTTATTACTGGCTGGTAAACTTTCAGTTTAGTGGCCAACTTGATGCCTTTCCTTTCCCACACTAAATCTCGCAGACAGCCAAAGGCTGCACCTAGCCTTGGCAATGCTGATGTTGATCATCAATGTGAACAGCACGTGGCAGAGCGCTACCAATGTAGGTGAACTTGAGATGGTTGGGTCCACGTAAGGATTACAGGGGCAGGTTGGTACATAAATTCAGTCTTCTTTGTACTGATTGTGAGGCCGAAGTTGTCGCAGGCAGCTGAGAACTGGTCCATGAAGGTCTGCAGGTCGGCATGCAAGCCAGCAGCTAGCGCGCAGTCATCTGCAAACAAAAGGTCGCGAAGTCACCTCCTCCACCTTTGTTTTGGCTTGCATCCTCCGCAAGTTGAACAGCGTCCCTGTCAAAGTGGTAGATGAAGCGGATCCCAGTGTGTTCATTTGGGAAGGCATCGAGCGGCATGGCGGAGAACATCATGCTGAAGAGGGTTGGTGCTAGAACACAGCCTTGCTTCACTCCAGTTGTGACTGAAAACTGTTCAGAGGACTCTCGGTGATCTTGCACAAACTTAGCCTTCATGCCGTCACGCAACTGTCCTATCATGGTGATAAATTTGTCCGGGCATACAAACTTCACTATGATCTTCCAGAGGCCCTCGCAGCTGATGGTGTCGAAATCCTTTCCCAAGTCGACAAAGGTGAGGTATCAATCGGAGTTTTGCTCTTGGCATTTTTATTGGAGTTGGTGGGCTGCAAACACTATGTCAGTGGTTCGATGGCTTTTTCTTAAGCCACACTGGCTCTAGGGCAGCAGGCCTTGGTCTAGGTGTTCTGTTAGACGATTCAGGAGGATTCTTGCAAAGATTTTTCCCGCAATGGACAGCAAGGATATACCTCTGATTGTCACAGGCTTGGCGATTGCCCTTCCTCTTGTACAGGTGGATAATCCACGCATCCTTTAACACCTAAGGGACAGCTTCTTGTCTCCATAATGACTGGAAGAGGTCGGTTAGATTCTCAACCAAACGAGGCCCTACCACCTTGCAGACGTCCGCTGATATGGCGTCAGCTCCCGGAGCTTTTCCCGATAACAGGAGACTGATGGCTTTTTTGTTTCCTCTAGAGTGGGTGGATCTGCAAGTGACAGGTTCATTTCAACTTGAGGCAGCCTTTTGGATCGCGTCTTCATTTATGAAGGCTGATTGAGGACTGAGTTGAAGTGTTCGGCCCATCTGCCAAGGATTTTGTCTTTCTCTGTGAGCAGTGTGGTTCCATCTGCACACAGGAGAGGTGAGATTCCTGAGGGTTGTGGGCCATAAACTGACTTTAGTGCATCGTAGAAATGCTTTGTGTTGTTGCTGTCGGCACGTGGTTGTATCTCCTCGACTTTCTGACTGAGCCAAGCATTCTGCATAGGTCTAAGCTGGAGCTGGACAGTCCTGTGGATGTTGAGAAATGCAGTTTTCTTGGACTCTGAGCTGCTATCATTCAGGTAGGTTTTGTTCAGGCAATGTTTCACATCAAGGAGTGCCTGAATCTCTGCATAATTTACGTCGAACAAGTCTTGGTGTTTGCGCGTGGCAGCGCCGACTGTTTGAAGCATTGCCGAGTGCAGCAGATTTCTGACAGCTGTCCAATCTGCCTCAGCATCTTCAGTCAGGCCTTAGGGACTCCAAGCGGTGGTCTCGGGATTCAGAAAAGTACTGCTGGATGCTCACCTGTTTCAGCTGGGAGATGTTGAGTCACTTAACATTTTGTTTTGCCTTGTGGACGTCTAGGTTTGATCCGGATATTGAGCTTGGAGATAACGAGTCTGTGGTCTGTCCAGCATTCTGCACCGCACATGGCCTTTGAAACTTGGATGTCACGCCTGTCTCTCCTCCTGACAACGACATAGTCAATTGAGTGCCAATGTTTTGACCGTTGTTGCATCCCAGTAGCAAAAGGCCTTTCCTGTTGCATTTGTCAACACCATGTGCACCCTAATGATCCCATTCCATGACTGATGGTCAGTTCCAACTCTGGCATTGAAGTCGCCGAGAATTCGTTTCTCTTTGCTGGGTGCAGCAGCAATTGCAGTCTCCAGGCCAGCGTAAAACTTTTTTTTACCTCATCCGGGGTAGTAATGGTTGGCGCCTAGGCACTGATGATGGTGACCTGCTTTTTGCCTGGTAGATGGAGCTTCAGGGTCATCAAACGGTCGTTGATACCGTTGGGTAAGCTTGACAGTTTCTTGACAGTTGGTTGACCAGGTTAGATTTTGCTGCAAAACCAACACCAGCGATGCGTCTCTCCTCTTTTCCACCCCCACTCCAAAGAAAGGTGTAACTGGCTCCAACGTCTGCAATCTGTCATGTGTCAGCTTGCCGGGTCTCACTTAGGGCGGCAACGTGAATGTTGTATCTGGCAAGTTCTCTGCCTACAAGAGCCGTGCGGCTCGCAGGTCTGTTTGGTCCGGCTGTGTCCATAAGTGTGCGCACATTCCAAGCGCCAACATTAAGTGGTGTTACTTTGATGTTCTTTGTTCGACCTGATGATGGTGTCATCAGGTTGAACAAGTGAGGGAGAGTTGCACGCAGCTTCGACCTCACTCTCTCGTCCAAACTCATCTGTATCCAGTGGAAAGACGATGTCGAGACGGCTGGAGATGATGCTGGATGCAGTGGATGGTCTGAGGAGACCTTCTGATGGTATTTCCCCCACCAAGGGTTCCACAAACCCAACTCAGACACTGAGTTTGCCAGATCAGTTCACCGCCGCATGGGGTTCGGCGTTGGCAGCTGCCGCCGGCAGGACCGACTCACCAGGTGCAAGATAGAAATCACCTGGTGTGCGCCTACGGTAACAGCTAGGGTATTCCCAGCAAACACTGACTGAACACCCAGCTGGCCAGATACACATAACGCGCACACACACACACATGACGTACACAGACACAAGCGAAGTACACACACACACACACAATGTACGCACACTCACTCAAGCACGCAACACACAAGCTCGCCATGGAGGTCAGATGTTCACCTGCAAGTGTCCACCTGGCCCTGGCACTTCAAAGGTCGTCAAAAAGAGTTATTTTGTTTGCGTGTGATTCACCAGCCATATCACTCGCTGTCACATAGCAACCCCAGCCCCAGGATGCAGGCGCATCAAGAAGTCGCGGGGTCACGCCAGGTGGTCAACAGGTCACCGAGACTGAAGAAAAGCAATCATTTTACGTGCCATTTCGTTTATTTTTATTGGCCAATTTGTCTGGATGGGACTATCCAGGGAGAGTCGATGATTGGGCTGGTGCGTGGCGAGGGAGGGGGGGGAGCTTGTAGTCATGGAGGGGGGGAGGGTAGTGGGTAGAGGGAGGTCACGGATGTTCAAGAGCTGTGGAAGAAAAGAGAAACAAAAGTTGACATGCTGCCACCAACAGCTTCGAGCCACAGAATCCCAAGAGGCGAGAGACTAAAATCCTTCGTTCCAATCCAGTGGGTACCAGTCCACATTGGTCCATGCCGCTCATACCAACAAATCCCGGGCATCATCATCATCTCACTGGCACCCAGGTCTGTGACACAGTGAAGCGTGGAGCGTGCCGTGCCCTGGAGAAAGGGCGGCGTGATCGGTGGTTGGGTTGGAGGCTCTGGATCATCCGGCTTTGTGGTTACGATGGTTGTGGCTGGGGTCTGGTTTTGGCTTGCTTTACAGTTGCTCTGTTTTACAGTATTGCCAGTTATATGTGAGGAAGCAGAAGCCATAATCACACAACACACATTGGCAGCCCTACATTAGCTTCCTGTAAGGTTTAGGGTATATTTTAAAAGTTGCTCATTACTTACCCTTCAATTTTTTATATTTGAATTCTATAGATCCCTGGACAGCTCCAGTGATCACGGGACGGAGGATTCCTCACCAAGGTCCCCTCTAAAAATTAACCACAATTGGCCGAGTGTTCGGCTCTCGGGCCCCCAAATTATGGAACCGGCTGTTATACTTTGTAGAGCCGGACTGCACACACTTCTATGACCCATCGATCACATTGTCATGCGCTTAACCTGCATAGTAATGCATTTAAATTGATCTGTGTATTGAATATGTTCATCATTTATGTTGCTTTATAATTATCGACTGTTCGTGTTGCTTTATTCATGCAAGCATAACCACGTTAATTGTGAAGCGCCTTGTGACAATTTATCTTGAAGGGCGCGATGCCATATAAAGATGTGTTGATTCGTTAATATTTAGGTTTTTAGTTGTGGTCTTACCTAGCATTCGTTCACTCTTATAGGCACCTATTAATACAGCACGCGCACCTTCAAAGAATGCGTCTACGTCAACAGATCTCTGCGAGGTCACCCCGAGTGACCTCTGCCCTCTCACCTTGGCGGCTGTGGTGGGGGTGGGGGCGGGGGCTGGTAGGGAGGTGGGAGGTCGTCGTGGCTCGCGCTGGCCGGCCGGCTACGAATCTGGCTCCTCAGCTGCTCGATGAGCTCCGGGTTCTCCTGCTGCATCGTCTGCGCGAACTGCTGTCCTCTGTTACGCGGTCACATTCACGCCGACTTTAGAATCCCAAGTTCAGGGCGGAAGATGATCCAGCACTCAAGATTCACTCCAGTATCACAATTCCTATTTTACCAGGTTAAGGCCCACTGAGCTATGCAGCTCTATTTCAGAAGCAACCCGGTCACAATAGTAGCTCAACGAAGTGGCTTATCACGTGGACATTTATAGCAACCAAATATTCTAAACGTACATTTATTCTAAATGTGGAGGGAAAAACTGTAGGACCCGGAGAAAACTATGTGACCATGGGGGGATAGACATGCTAACTCCAAATATACAGGCGTCACCGTTCGAATCGAACCCACGACCTCCTGTATACCAAGTGAGGTAGTTAACATCTCGTCAACATGGCGTCCCAGTCACTAGCATGCCGGCGGCCAGCCACCACTCCTTACCACTCTTCTATCGCTACTATCATGGTTACGGTTTCTGTGAGCTTTACTCATCAATTACTCCACCCATGTCGATGACTTGGTCTACCACCAGACACTGTTCAACCACCACACTACAGGTCACAACAACACTACCACCCATCCACTCGCCCACTCACTCACCCATCCACTCACCACACTACAGGTCACAACAACACTACCACCCATCCACTCACTCACCCATCCACTCAACTATCCACTCACCACAGTGCAGGTCACCTCACTTCTCTTTCTGCATCTCCCCTCACACTGCTCAACTTTGGAATTCCCTGACATCATCACATTTTGCAAACTCTTATAATAATCGTGGTCAATTCAAGAAACGTGTTACACTACTATCTATTACGACATTGAGGGTTCTGCTTGTTGCTGGCTGATTAGCGTGTATGGGCCTGTGCTGAGAAAGTCTGATAAAAAAACACGACTACAATAGCAGTGGTGTAGAAGCACCAATCATAAACGCTCGCCAGTTTCATGACCAACGCCGCCTCGCAACAGCAACACACTTTAGGCCGAGTTAGGCACTCGCTCTAAGTTGAGTTAGGCACTAGCTTTAGGCTGAGTTAGGCACTGGCTCTAAGTTGAGTTAGGCACTAGCTTAAGGCCGAGTCAGGCACTCGCTCTAAGTTGAGTTAGGCACTAGCTTTAGGCCGAGTTAGGCACTCGCTCTAAGTTGAGTTAGGCACTAGCTTTAGGCCGAGTTAGGCACTCGCTCTAAGTTGAGTTAGGCACTAGCTTTAGGCCGAGTCAGGCACTCGCTCTAAGTTGAGTTAGGCACTAGCTTTAGGCCGAGTTAGGCACTCGCTCTAAGTTGAGTTAGGCACTAGCTTTAGGCCGAGTTAGGCACGCGCTCTAAGTTGAGTTAGGCACTAGCTTTAGGCCGAGTCAGGCACTCGCTCTAAGTTGAGTTAGGTACTAGCTTTAGGCCGAGTCAGGCACTCGCTCTAAGTTGAGTTAGGCACTAGCTTGAGGCCGAGTCAGGCACTCGCTCTAAGTTGAGTTAGGTAATAGCTTTAGGCCGAGTTAGGCACTCGCTCTAAGTTGAGTTAGGCACATGCTTTAGGCCGAGTCAGGCACTCGCTCTAAGTTGAGTTAGGCACTAGCTTGAGGCCGAGTCAGGCACTCGCTCTAAGTTGAGTTAGGTAATAGCTTTAGGCCGAGTTAGGCACTCGCTCTAAGTTGAGTTAGGCACATGCTTTAGGCCGAGTCAGGCACTCGCTCTAAGTTGAGTTAGGCACTAGCTTTAGGCCGAGTCAGGCACTCACTCTAAGTTGAGTTAGGCACTAGCTTTAGGCAGTCAGGCACTCGCTTTAGACTGAGTCAGCGTAAGGAAAGTCATGACCGCATCACTTAAGCGCCCGTCCATTATTGAAAGCCGACGCAGCCGAGGGGAGGCGTGCTTCAGCCGTGGAAGCTGCGTACGTACGCTTGGATTAGGCCGGCCATGTCGTTGATGCCACCAGTTCCCACACCCGGGACGCCTCCAGAGAAGCCTCCTGACATCATTCCCGACATCCTGAGCAACGACACCAACAATCACCACCACCATCATCGTTCATCACTCGGTGGTGCAGACTCGAAGACAAAGGATGTAGGGACAGTCTCGTGAGTGAGAGGCTGATTGAAAACTCGATGATTTGGAGTTGCAGGACAAACCCCGGTGTTGCGAGGGGAGTCGTAAAAAGGCTCGAGACCACAGAAACATTCACAGGTTTCGTGGTGAGCTGCCTCGATCGAGCATAGCGGAGTGTTTGGTAACCAACTGAGCCCTGCAGGTTGGTATACTTATTATTGTAAATACACGTTGTTTACCCAGGAAAGCCTCACCGAGTCTCAAGACTATTTGCAAGACGGTTCTGCTAAGTTGTTGCAGCAGGGCATGACTTATTGCTACGCAGGTTCCCATTCCGTAATTTTCACCTGCATTTCCAAAATTGGCAATTATGGACCATGACACTGGCACACAATAGCCTAACTCTTCTTCTTTTAATGTCACAGGATCTTTAACGTCCACTGTGAAAGCGGACGGTGCATTCTGTTTCATGGTTAATACAGTCGCAGCATTAAGGCCAGATTTGAACTGCAAACCTTTGCAGCAAGCGAGAGATAAAAAAGGAATGAAATAAAGCAAGACGGACAAAAATTGAAAGAGAGAAATGGATAGAAGGCAGAGCTATAGAGAAAGAGGGCTACACGGAGCTACGCGTGGTCACCTACTGTGCGTGTACGTGTGCGGCTAGCCACGACCTCTCGGTGGCGCTGGAGGTGGCACAATTCTGACTAAGTTATAAACAGAAAGGAAAACCCAAAAAGTTTTAGACTTTGCTAACGTTTAACAAACGTTTGAACGATTAGCACCTCTACTGGACGTATACTTTATGACCAATTATTGTCCACCACGGCAAGCAAATGGTTTTGTATAATTTTTCTGGTCGTGCTGATTCGGGACCCAGTTTTTTGGGAGTGCTCTTTGCCTTAACATCTGGCAATTGCAGTAGCAGTTGTTTAAATGGATGTAACTAATTATGAGACCCTGAAGATCTAAACCAATCCAGACTTTACATGCTCAAAGAAATGCTCTCAGGAAACATTGGTCCAGAAGGCCGTCGAGCCGATGGTTAAAAATTACCTTTTATGTTGTCGAGTGATTGACTTCCTGTTAATTTCATATTCAAAATGGACTATCCATCTATTCATTTTAAATGTGTTACCCATTACTCTTTGCCACAATGCACAATAGGCTGTGTCCATCGCGTGTCCATTGCGTGTGTATCGCATGTCCATGCGTGTGTCCATGCGCGTTTGCAAGCGTGCAAGCACACGCGCAGCGCCACTCACATCTGCTGCAATTGTGGATTCTGCATCATGTTGGCCGCCTGCACACACGCACGCACACACACACACAGCAGAGATCACCACAATGAGAGACGTCGCCCGCCTTCCCACGCGCTAAACACGGCCCACGAAACGCTGCCGGCACTCGCTGTGGCGCAAAGACTACGCCTCAACCGTTTTGTGCGGCGGGGCCGGTCAACGCTCGGGAACAAACTGGCGCGGGAATGCGTGGAGCTTGGGATGCGAGCGACACGCCGCTTGTGTGAACCACGAGGTCGCTGTCACGGCGTCGCCTACCATGGCCATGAATCCCGGGTTGTTGAGGATCCCAGCGAGGTCGAAGCCTCCGGGCGGCGTGGCATTCTGCTGTGACAACGCGCACACAAAATACGCACTCAAAGACGAAGAGAGCCCCGACTGGGCACCCCCCCCCGCCCCCCGCCAGTGGCGACACCTACACGGGTACGTGTGCGCGTGGTATATGTTTACGTATGTGTTTCACTGCACGCGTGTGTGTGAATGTATATACGTGCATGTGAACGTGCAAAAGCGACACGACGTTTCAGTCACGATGGGTTGAGTCCAGGGCTGCGATGGCGAACGCCTGCAATCCAGCACTGCAGAGGCAGCGAGGGTTTGCGGATCACATCCATGTTGTGAAATTCCCTTCCCACGTGCATCAAGGAGGTGCCATACCCTGGCTCGCCAGGAGAAGGCGGTACAGAAAATGTAGTCTCCACCTATTCCAATTGTACGGGATAGAGCACTGCCCCTTGCACGTGTGGGTTCTCGCCGGGTGCTCTGGTTTTCTCCCACACAAACACTCATGAATTGTCTGAAACACCTTCATATAGAGGACTGTGGAGCTTGGGGGTGGGTGTGTGGTGAATGTGGCTCCAGCTCACTGCCTGTTACAGGCAGTGAGCTGGTGTACTCTTTACGAATGACATCACGGGATCCTTTGATCGCCCGCTATGAAGCAGACAATGCATAGTATCTTTTACGGTCATACACCCGCCGTAATAACCAGGTTCGGCTTGCCGGATTTGAACCGAGAAACTTTGCAATAAGTGGTGAACGCAAAACAGCTGGGCTGTGTCGCCGCCCCAAATGAGAACCTATTAAGGCCAGCAAGACATAGGGCTCCTGTAGTAGTCAGGCCGGCACTATGTCCGGCCACCTTTGTTTCCCCAGTGCTAACATCGATCACACCACTCTACTGGCTCATTTTATGTTGGGTCAACCTAGAGGAAGCCCATGATAAAATCAATCACTTGGCAGCGACGTTGCTCACTGTCAGGAATCCTGTGGACGAGTGTGAGTGCACGTATGTGTGTGCGTACACAAAGGCATGCCAGCATGCAAGCAGATGTGGGTACATAAATGCTTGTCTGTGTGTGCGTACATGTATATTGGGGAGCGGTAGCGTAGTGGTTAGTGTGGTGCTCTACAAACCTGGCAACCCGAGTTCGATTCCCACTCACGGCCAACATCAGTGACGATTATCTGAACCGGTCCTGGCCCTCCCGTAGGCCAATTCAGCCTCAAATGAGTAGTTGGTGCAGTGCATAAAAAACATTGCCACTAGAGAGACAAATGCGGCTGGGCGTGGTGCTGGCCACCTTCATAGGAGCTCGCTAACAGCACTTGCCCCAACAGTCTGTTTAGGCGATATGGGGGTTATTTGTCTTTGCACATACATATGCGTATGCATGCAGGTATGTGTGCACGTGCATGTATGTACCTGTGCGTAGGTCTGTACTCATGCGTGTGTGGGGAGCGGTGGATGTAGCGGTTAGCGCATTACTCTTTGAACCCGGAAACCTGAGTTCGATTCCCGCTCATGGCCAACACCAGTTGGACACGAGCCGGAATCTGAACCAATCCTGGTCAACTAAGTCTCCCTCGTGGCGATGTATAAACATGGCCACTAGGAAGACAAAGGGGGCCAGGTATGGTGCTAACTACATACCCCCAAGTGTGTTGTCTTGGCCTTAATAGGTGCTCGTTAACAGCAATTACCCCAACAGTCTGTTGAAGGGTATACAGGGGATCTTTGTCTGTCTTGTGTGTGCAAACATGCATATATGTGGATGCATGTGTGTGTGGAGGTGCGTGTGTGTGTTTGTGTGGAGGTGTGTGTGTGCAGAGGCTTGCAGAGCCCCAATGCGGTTTCAGGAAAGGGTGGTCCTGCACAGATGCCATATTTTCTGTCCGTCTGCTACAGCAGAGGTGTAGGGAATTCCAACAAGACCTACATCTCTGCTTTATTGACCTGGTCAAGGCCTGGGTTGTTCTTCGTGCTTTTGGAGTACCTGACCCTCTGCTCACGATCATTAAGGACCTTCATGATGGTGAGCAGGCCCGGGTAAAACTACGTGACCGGGAGTCAGAGCCATTCCCTGTACACCTTGGGGTGCAACAGGGATGTCCTCTGGCTCCCACATTATTTAACATCTATTTTGACCACCTAGTTCGTGAAGCCTTCAAAAGCTGTACCGGGGGAATCTCCATTTAGTACAGATATAATGGGAGGCTGATCGATGCCCAGGTGCGGTCAAGGGATGGCTCCCTAGTGCTCAACCACGTTATGTATGCCAATGATTTGGTAATAGCTGCTCATTCAGAGGAGTTGAAGATGCTGTTGCTGAGACTGGAGCGTGCCACTAAGAGATGGGGCCTTACCATCAGCCCCACCAAAACTAAGCACCTGCCTGGGTATTTTGTACCATCGGACACTCCACCCCCACACCTCCCAATCGGTGATGGGGGAGTTGTGGAGAGAGTGGAGAGTTTCCCATACCTGGTCAGTGTGCTTATGACCGGCTCCAGTTTAACAGCAGAGGTCTCACTCCGAATCAGTCAAGCGGCAATATCTTTTCATCGGTTGCGTAACGCTATGTGGAAGCTACCTGGTCTGTCGCTCCGCACTAAGCTTCAGGTCTTCTCGGCCACGGTCATTCCTTCCCTTCTGTATGCTTGCGAAACGTGGACCCCCCTAATGGAACATCATCGCCGGTTATAAACATTTAGGCTAGCCTGACTACGATCCATCCTGGGTTCAACCAGGCTGGATTGTGTGAGCTCACATATTTTTGAAAGATCTGGGCAAGGTCCCATCGGTGAGCTCCTCCGGCAGGCAAGGCTGCGTTGGCTGGGTCATGTAGCCCGCATGCCCAGCCACCGCATGCATAAACAGCTTTTTTTCAGCCGGATCGAGGGGGCTAAACGGGCGCGGCACGGGCTAGAGAAGAGATGGAGTGATGTGGTACAGGAGGACGTGGAGCTGAGTGGACTTGCCGATGACTGGTACCAGCGGTGTCAAGCTCGGCCTCTGTGGAGGAGGCTCGTGAAGGACACTACTGGGCAGTTAAGAGGCAGTTGCCCTCGAACAACAACGGAGGGCACAGGAGCGACGCCCACAATAACGAGCGGAGCGCCGGGTGGCTAAAGAACAGCAGGTTGGCACAGTAGGGGGCACAGGTGGTGCATCAGCCAGTCATCTTAGTCAGCCGACCCGTGGCACTTGGGTCTGCCCCGTGACCTCCTGCCAGCGGGCGTTCGACACTTCACGTGGCCTAAAGGTGCACATGGCCTGGCACAAGCATCGTGGTGATGTCACCGCCACTAAGTGGCGAATGGCGGTTGTTGTTGTGTTTGTGTGGAGGTGTGTGTGTGGGGGGAGGAGGCTCGTGAAGGACGCTGCTGGGCAGGTGGAGGCAGTCGCCCTCCAGCAACAATGGAGGGTGGAGGATCGACGCTCACAACAACGAGTGGAGTACCGGATGGCTAAAGCACAGCAAGTTGGCACAGTAGGGGGCACAGGTGGTGCATCAGCCAGTCATCTCATTCATCTTAGTCAGTCGACCGGTGGCACATGGGTCTGCCCCGTGACCTCCTGCCAGAGGGCGTTCGACGCTTCACGTGGCCTCAAGGTGCACATAGCCTGGCACAAGCATCGTGGTAATGTCACCGCCACTTAGTGGCGAATGGCGGTTGTTGTTGTTGTGGAGGTGCATGTGTGGAGGTGTGTGCGTGTGTGTGGAAGTGCCTGTCTGTGCGTAGGTGCGTGTCTGTGTGGAGGTGCGTGTGTGTGGAGGTGGGCGTGTGTGTGGAGGTGCACGTGTGTAGTGTGTGTGCGTGCGTAGGTGCATGTCTGTGTGGAGGTGCGTGTGTGGAGGTACACGTGTGTGGTGTGTGTATAGGAATGGGGAGCGATAGTGTAGCGGTTAGCGCACTGCGCTATGAACCTGGCGACCCGGGTTCGATTCCCGCTCACGGCCAACACCAGTGACAATTATCTGAACCGGTCCCGGGCCTCCTCTAGGTCGACTCAGCCTCAAATGAGTACCTGGTGCGGTGTGTAAACATTGCCACTAGGGAGACAAAGGCGGTCGGGCGTGGTGCTGGCCACCCACCCCCTCGTGTACCATTCCGGCCTTCATAGGTGCTCGCTAACAGCACTTGCCCCTACAGTCTGTTAAGGCTATATGGGGGATCTTTGTCTTTTGTAGGTGCATGTCTGTGTGGAGGTGCGTGTGTGTGGAGGTGCACGTGTGTGGTGTGTGTGTGCGTAGGTGGGGAGCGGTAGTGTAGCGGTTAGCGCGCTGCGCTATGAACCTGGCGACACGGGTTCGATTCCCGCTCACGGCCAACACCAGTGACGATTATCTGAACTGGTTCCGGGCCTCCCCTAGGTCGACTCAGTCTCAAATGAGTACCTGGTGCGGTGGATAAAAACACTGCCACTAGGGAGACAAAGGCGGTCGGGCGTGGTGTTGGCCACCCACCCCCTTGTGTACCGTCCCAGCCTTCATAGGTGCTCGCTAACAGCACTTGCCCCTACAGTCTGTTAAGGCTATATGGGGGATCTTTATCTTTGTGCGTAGATGCATGTCTGTGTAGAGGTGCGTGCGTGCGCACCGGGCTCGTGGCCTCCCTCCCTCTGCTTTCGGCGAGCTCCAGGTTGCCTCGGTAACCCTCGTTGTCCGGATCGAGCTCAACGGCTCGACGGTAAAACTCCACCGCCTCCTCGTGCTTCCCCAGGGAGGTGAGCGCTAGCCTGCGCGGCCCGCACACAGCCACACGCCGACAATCATCGTCACAGCAGCGCCGCCGCACAAACCACCGCCACGCAGCACCGCGCAACAATGCCAACCAGTCAAGGGCCACAGGGCTTTCCTGCTCTCATTGGGTGGAAATTGCGCATTGCTGTGGCGGGGGGCGAGTCTATTTACTGAACAATAACTGCTGCCAACTTCCTCACAATGTGGTACTAATTTTATTGACCCCGGTGGGATGATGGGCTGAGACAACCCCCCAATTAGGATTTAAACTCGCAACCTTCCAATTGCGAGCCGCTTGCTACACCGCTAAGCCAGCTGGCTGGTTATTTACCACTTGCCGACCAGATGGCTTGGGTTCTGTCTTTGTACCGATTGTGCTCTAATGGCACTAATGGCACCTGTCGTCAGTATCACATGGCAGCGCACCGCTGGGCATTAGGTAAGGCCCGTGACAGAAGGTATCACAGAGCTGCTCGCTGCTGGGACGCAGCCATTAAAACACAAAATCATTCACACATCTGCTATTTGTATGATTCTTGCGAGCGCAAAGCTACCACAAAGGAAGGCGCTGCGTTTTACAGACGGGTAGAGCCTGCGGTGGTTTCGCAGTAGGGGGCGGTGACATGGCTCAGCGGGAGTTCAGCACGGCCCGCGCGTGCGGACGCGTGCAGCGTGTTTGTGCGTGCGTGCGCGCGCACGGCACAGTGCTGCTCACCCCATGCGCCCGTAGGCCTTGCTGTAGTTAGGGTCGATAACGATGGCGCGCTCGCAGTCCTGCACCGCGCCCACGTAGTTGCTCAGTTTGCTGTAGGCGGCCGCCCTGCTCCGCCGCGCGTCCCGGGGTCGTGGCGGAGGGGAGAACAAGGCGGGGGCGGGGGGGGGGGGGGGGGTCCGATGCCACAGGCATGGGGAGGACACGTGTGTGAGCGCAATGCGTGCGGGCGCAGCAGTGTGATCGTACCACAGGTGTGTGTATTTGCAAGTCAGTGTGGGAAAGCTGCGAGGCCCAGGCTATTGTGGGCTCGCCACCGCATCAACGGGAGGCTTATGCCCTCAATCAAGGTGAAGATCGGTGGGGGGATGGAGCCAAGGCTGATAAGTCAGATGCATTCTATGACCTCTTGTCACAGGTGCTGGCAAAAGTGTTCCCTTGAGATAGAGTAATCCTGTTGAGTGACTTTAATGCCCAAGTGGGCTATGATGCAGGCCGGAGTGATTGGAAGGCATGGGCCAGATCAGCTCAATAATAATGGTAGAAGGCTGCTAGTCTTCTGTGCAGCCCATGGGCTTGTAATCACCAACACGCTGTTTCCAGAATCGGTGCATCCACACATCATGGATGCACGATGGGTCCAATGCAAGAACATCTAAATATTGTTTCCCTTCAACGTGACTTTACCGAAAGAACCAAGAATATAAGTAACAACATATTCTTTGGGTCTTTAGGTAAAGTTACGTATATAGGTTCAAAGAAAATAACAAAAAACTCCGACGCTTCAATCACAATACAAGCGATCGTCATCAGGAGGAAAAAAGAGCGGGAAAGCTGCTGAGGCAGACTTGTGTTGTGATCGAGCTTCGTAGTTTTTTGTGATTTTCTTTGAACCTATATACGTGACTTTACCAAAAGACCCAAAGAATATGAATTCCTGCAGTTACGAAAGCTTTAGGTCAAGATTTAAGTAAGAACATTTGATATTGCGCACTCTTACAGTGAGGGAAAAAGTATTTGATCCCCTTCTGATTTTGTACGTTTGCCCACTGACAAAGAAATTATCAGTCTATCATTTTAATGGTAAGTTTATTTGAACAGTGAGAGACAGAATAACAACAACAAAAATCCAGAAAAACGCATGTCAAAAATGTTATAAATTGATTTGCATTTTAATGAGGGAAATAAGTATTTGACCCCTCTGCAAAACATGACTTAGTACTTGGTGGCAATACCCTTGTTGGCAATCACAGAGGTCAGACGTTTCTTGTAGTTGGCCACCAGGTTTGCACACATCTCAGGAGGGATTTTGCCCCACTCCTCTTTGCAGATCTTCTCCAAGTCATTAAGGTTTCGAGGCTGACGTTTGGCAACTCGAACCTTCAGCTCCCTCCACAGATTTTCTATGTGATTAAGGTCTGGAGACTGGCTAGGCCACTCCAGGACCTTAATGTGCTTTTTCCTGTGACACTCCTTTGTTGCCTTCGCCGTGTGTTTTGGGTCATTGTCATGCTGGAATACCCATCCACGACCCATTTTCAATGCCCTGGCTGAGGGAAGGAGGTTTTCACCCAAGATTTGACAGTACATGGCCCCATCCATCGTCCCTTTGATGCGTTGAAGTTGTCCTGTCCCCTTAGCAGAAAAACACCCCCAAAGCATAATGTTTCCACCTCCATGTTTGACGGTGGGGATGGTGTTCTTGGGGTCATAGGCAGCATTCCTCCTCCTCCAAACACTGCGAGTTGATGCCAAAGAGCACGGCACGGGCTAGAGAAGATGGGCTGATGCGGTACAGAAGGATGTGGGGATGATTGGATTAACCAATGACTGGTACAAGCAGAGTCAAGATTGTTCACTATGGAGGAGGCTCGTGAAGGATGCTACTGGGCAGTTAAAGGCAGTTGCCTTCCAGCAACAATGGAGGGCAGAGGAGCGACACGCACAGCAACGAGCGGAGCGCTTGGCGGCTAAAACGCAGCAAGTTGGCTAATTGGAGAGCACAGGTGGTGCATCTGCCAGTCATTTCAGTCAACCCGTGGCACCTGGGTCTGTCCGTGACCTCCTGCTAGGGGCCTTGGACACTTCACAAGGCATCAGGGTGCACCGAGTCAGGCGTAAGCGCCATGGTGACGTCACCACCACTTGGTGGCGAACGGCGGTAGTTGTTGTTGCTGTTGTAGCTGTGTGAGTAGCTCTGTGTAGCTGTGTGTTTAGTTCACCGGTTGCAGAAGTAGACGGCGTTCTGCTGGTGCAGCTCGATGGCGTGTGTGTAGCACTCCACGGCCTCGGAATAGCGCTCCTCGCGCATGTACTGGTTCCCTGCACACGGCACAGCATGTTATGACATCACGATGCATTCACATGCACGGCCGTCACTTAATACTGCATATTTACTACCCAAACGTTCGCTTCATAGTGGACGTTAAAGTTCCCTTTGACGTTATCCGGATAAGAGTCGGCCACATGTGCTGGTGTCACGGTTCAAATTTGCCAAATAAAAAAAAGCGACTTTCAAAGTATTAAAGCGGTAAAACCACACAGCAACACGGCAGGTACTCAATTAAATAACTACTAACGTTTTCTTTACCAGGTAAGGCCCACTGAGCTATGAGCTATTTTTCAGAAGCGACCTGGTCACAAATGATCGCTCAACGAAGTGGCTTAGCACATGGAAATTTACAGCAGCCAAATACTCTAAAACGCGTGATGTTGATTCTAAATGTGGAGGGAAAAAACCGGAGGACCCAGAGAACATGCAAACTCCAAACATACAGCAGGCATCAGGATCGGGATCGAACCCACGACCTCCTGCATACCAGGCGAGGCAGTTAACATATCTCCACCGTGGCGTGCCAAATTACATGTATAATTATCAATGAGCGAAAACAAGAGCATTAAGGCAACGCCACATATTGCTGGTAAAGATTACGAAAGTGAATATTAATGCTTCATAGTGACTTCAAAAAGTCCAAGTGGCGTGTTGTGAGCGGTCACCCTCGTTCTTGTATTTGTCAGCGCGAGTTCTATCTTCTTCTGACACCGTGCAGTCCGGGAGGGCCTTCTCTTGACTGAGGGGTGGATTTGATGCCTGAGCCGGTAGGGGAGGGGGGCGAGGGTGGGGGGAGCCGAGGGGCAAAGAGCGGAACTCACGGCATGAACACGCAACGAACACACCGGTGATTGCCACTTGCTTCAGCAGCAATAATGGCAAAAAGGATCTCCGCTTTGTAAACGTGGCCTTCGACAACAACGTGGACTGTTTTCTGCATCCAGGACCCGTCAAAGAAATCATAATTATTATCACGAGCAACAATCCCCTCAAGTAACAAGATGGCAATGGGGTGACTGCAATTTGTAAGGTGCACGATATTTCACAGACATAAATGACTGTGATTGAGACGTGGAGCCAAGTTCAGTGTCACTCAAAGGTCAGGTGAACGAGGCGAGGCCTATTAGTATAGACGTAACATTAAGCAGTTCAGTTTACATTGAACTGCCCATATAGGACTCACCACTGTGATCTCTACATTGGGTCAAACCTAACATCTCTTAATGTTCGATGGCTTGTACACCAGATCTTATTTATTCACGATGTACTTACAACGAAATCCACAGACCACCTGCTGGATCTCTTCTCTGTTTCAAAGAACAAATTTGACCTCAGGTCTTCGCTCATTTACCAGCTTCACATTCCCTATTGCCGTACAAAAACTGGAGGAAGGGCCTTTGCTATTGATGCCCCCAGGGTCTGGAATGCTATTGCCAATAAACTGAAATTTGAATCGCTACCAATGAGATCTTCTCCCAATACTGCTCTAGAGGAGTTGTACATTCCTAGCTGCCACTGCTATTCATTGGCGTAAAATAAAATAAAATGTTTCGCTCCGGATGACGCTGCAAAGTATTATCTGAAATTTGATTTAGCGTGCTGATCTTAAAGGTGCATTGAAAAATTTGATACTCCGACTGATGCTTCTGTTGTTGTGGAGTAACTCATGCAGCCAGCAATGGCTCTAGGATTTGGTGTTACATGTTATTTATGTAGTTTATTGTAAAAATTCGGTCACAGTCCCTATGATCACTGTTACGTTGCAATTATGGCTTTATTTTTTGGTGATTTCGAAAAGTTTTTTGGTTTGGACATGTTTGTTTTGTTGTAGTATGGAGTTAGACTGATGGCCTTAATCTAAGTTTTCTTGTGGTTGTTGTTGTTTGACTTACATCCCACTGGGATTTTTGCACACAGCGTTGGTGTACGGTGCTTTTTTAAGGAATATTTAGCTGTTTTTTTAATGGATTTTCTGTTTGCACAGTCACATAGTCACTTTAAGATGTTTTCTTGTTCGTGTTTTTTGTTTGTTGTGGTTGCACCCGATTCAAGAGCTGAATGGCTCACAGGGCTATACCAAAATAAATTAACTGAAAAAAATATATTTTTTATATGACTCTTTAGGCCTCGCCTCCCCCGTCTTTATGCCCTACCCCTTACTCATTAGGCCCCACCCCTTCCCCTTTCAGCTCCTCCCCTTTCCTTTATGGGACCTGCCCCCTTCTTCTTCATCAAACCACGAGGTTGGGCTGGTTTGGGTAGTGGTGAGGGCTTGTTGATGACGTTGGGGGGTTTGCAAGCTTCGGATGGAGCGATAGGGCCAGGTAGTTTCCACAGCGTTATGCAGCCGATGAAAAGACACTGCTCCTCGACTGATTCCGAGTGAGACCTCCGCTGCCAAACTGGAGCTGGTCATAAGCACACTCACCAGGTACAGAAACGTTTCCACTCTCTGCACAGCTGCCCCATTATTCATGTAAAGTGGAGGTGGTTGAGTATTTTATAACATAAAAAAATACCCAGGCACCCCAACGTGAACTTTAAATTGCTCTGACTCCCATCCACGCAGCTTTACCTGGAGCCCACCCACCATCATGAAGGTCTTTAATGATTGCAGGCAGAGGATCAATGACCCTGAAAGCACAAAGAGCCCCGAGTCCTGGCCTATTGATGATATCACAGGCCTTGACCAGGGGTGGGCGGGGGACAGCAGGGGTCCTGGGGCGCTTCGCGATGACCACCAAGATCCCTCTTAGGGAAATGTAATAATAATTATAATAATAGACTGAGTGAGGTGGGGGGGAAGCCAGGTTGCCCGGAGAAAACCCAACACATCCGCCGGGATAGCAGCTTACTCAGCTGCACAGATGAGCCACCAGCAAATAGGCACGGAGCAATTCGCGAGAAGAGCGAGCCAATGCATTGTCACCATTCAGGGGTCACAATTCCATTCTAAATAAAAAATTTTGTCGATTAAATATGAAATACTTTATTCTCATATTAATCGGAATGCTACTTTCAGTGCCACCTCGTTGGGTACCAGATGTTTGCTCGGCAGGCGGGTGGGTGGTGTCTCATTGCTCACTCTACACGAAGGCTCCATGGGGGGGGGGGGGGGGGGGCTGTGGGGGACTCACGGGCTCGTCTTGCGTCGCCTCCACGAAGATGTCGAGCAGCGGTCGCGACACGGCGAGGTGCGAGTCCGCCGCACTCACCCCAAACGCCGTCTCCAGGCACTGCGTCGCAACTACCGACGTGGATGCACGGAGAGACAGGTAGATGCACGGTGATGCGCGGAGATGCATGGTGACGTACAGGATCCAAGGGACGCACGGGCAGACAGGTAGATGCACGGTGACACATGGGGACACGCAGTGGCGCAAGGCGATGCACAGGGAAAATACCAGACGTAAAGAGAAGTACGGGAAAGCAAAGATTGGTATGGGGGTGCGTGAGGAGACAGGAACACAAAGAGACCCACAGAGACACATGGCGATGCATAGAGACATGTGGACACATGGCAATAAAAAACGAAGACAAAGATCCCCAATATAGCTGATAAAAGACTGTTAGGGAAAGTGCCGTCAGTGAGCAACTATGAGGGCCGGCACGGCACACGAGGGGGTGGGTGGGTGGGCAGCACCACACACGGCCGCCTTTGTTTCCCCAGTGGCAATGTTTACACACTGCACCAGGTACTAATTTGAGGCTGACTCGACATCAGGGAGGTCCAGGACCGGTTCAGATAATCATCACTGATGGTGGCCGTGAGCGGGAATCGAACTCGGGTCGCTGTGTTCATAGCGCAGCGTAGCGCTAACCGCTACACGGCCAACACATGGCAACGTACAGGTATGCACGTGAGCACAAGCAAAGCACAGCACTGGAGAGACTGGGAGGGCAAATCCTGCTCACGAGTGTTGGCAGGGTTGAAATCACGCGGGAACCACACGTTCCACATTCGTATATATCCCAATGACTGGCATTTGCTGACCACGCAGCACAGCTCAAAACTTTAGGCTGAGCTAACCTAGGGGAGGCAAGCACCAACTGCTTACCCAGAGTTAATAAGTAATTGTTATTCTTGGTTCTTTCGGTAAAGTTTTGTTTTATATTTTTATTATTTTATTGTTTGCCTTCTACGTGACTTTACCGAAAGAACCAAGAATATGAATCCCTGCAGTCACGAAAGCTTTAAATCAAAATTTAAGTAATTGTTGAACCTCACGAGAAGCCTTTACTGAGAGAGGCCTGGTCACGTCAGGCTGCATCATCTCCGAACACCGCCACCACTACGACCGCCACCAACACCGCCATCAGCGCCATCACTGCCACCACCGCCGCCGCCACACCACCACCACCACGTACCTTCCAGACTCTCGGTGGCGTCCTCCGACAGCGTCCCCGCGCGCAGCTGCTCGTTCAGGAAGCCCAGCACAGCCACCGCCAGGCGCTGCACGTCCGACATGGCGCCCCGTGTGTGTGCGCGTCCGTCTGCCTCGTCCTGTGTATCCGCGTACCAAGCCTAGTGGAGAAAAACGCGACCCACGTTACTCCCTCGCTGGAAACCCAAGGCAATTCGTCAACAACACCGTAGCCTTAAGGAAAATATAAAAAAGGAAAATATATAATAGGAGACGTTTGGGGCGATGGCCCTTTTCATAGCACACCAATCACATCGGGTCTCCATGTCACCCACCCCAAATGTAACAGAATACGCAAGCCCGACTAAATGCAGCATCATTGATGTTGGCGCATTCTTCAGGCACGACAGAGCCAGCACCATAACAATAATAGTTTCTTAAAATATTTAATCTGGATAATCCTTTGACATGAAGCATCTCGTTTGCGAGAGTTGCCACGGGTGTCAAGTGACACACAGCAAACATGTTATGACGTGTATATAAACATTTATACTTGTATGCATGTTGAACTGATTTCACACCGTACGTAGCCAACCGTGATAATCGGAGGTGCGGGGGAAGGACAAAAATTAAAACCCAATCTTAGCAGTGCAAAATCTTCAAACTTTTCGTCAGGAGTAAACACACACCCAGCTGCCCCTCTGTTGCTGCGAAGCAACCACCCTTTGCGAAGAGGCACAGCTATAGAACCAAATCTTCCCTTGTAGATAAGAGTGACGTGAGTTTAAAGCCTCATCGGTTTCTAAATGTTTTAAAGAATTGGGAGACATTCTGTAACATATCAGTGTAAAGTGAATCGTGTTGAATCTGCTACCCGGATGACATCACTGAAGCACACGTGAATGGAGATTTCACGATTTTGAGCAAATCTTCAAACTCATGGCAGACAGCTTGGGGCAAGCGACATACACAACTGCCACGTAACCACAAATCTCCCTCTCGCACATTAGAAGGATTATCACTAATTCCGGGGGTAGAATTTGATCCAAGACTCGGGGTCTTTTTTGGCTGGTTCACACGGTTTGTCTCGTTTATAGAGTGTTGTTTGCCTAAAGGCAACATTTAGCATTCATTGTGTATATAGGTAAACAATTCATTATAACACACGATTTAATACATACATCATGCGATAAGCAGTAGATGTTAATGGATGAACAAACACATCAAATACTCGCCTTCTAATTATACATTTACAACATAACACCAATATACCTTTGCGTTGCGTCTTCCTGTAAAGTTATCGCTAAATAAAGTCCAAGTGTCCCCATAGCCCAGTGTTCTGCATTGCGAGGCCCGCGGGTCACTGGCTGTCCCTGGTGGCCTTTAGTGCAGCCCCTGACATGCGGCCTCCGACAATGCACAAAAGTGAAAACACCCCCATTATCGTGCTGCTGTTAAACCCTATGGTTTCAAATGTGTGGCAGCCCTCACACTGATGATGTCTTATCGGTGAAAATGGCCCCCTCTGAAAATTAGTGAAGAACACTACCACAGCACTATAAGCATTTGGCAGCACTCCTCTGCAGTGGCAGTCCTAAGCCGGAGGTGGAAATTCCACTTTCTTACTGTGGCCAGGAGCAGTCTCTCCATACAACCTCCACTGCCGACATTACCATTCATAACAATAACGTTTGGTTTTATATATAGCGTCATCGTTCATGCAAATTGCATCTCGTAATTAAGCTGGAAGTCAACAGGCAGTGAGCCAGCACCACCAAGAGTTGCTTAAGCTCTGCAATCCTATATACATATATTAACCCTTTCCTATTCCGATGACGTACGTGTACAACAGTTTTTCTTCCAGTTCCGTTCCGATAACATACAAGTACGTCATAAAATAACTTTATCAATACCAAGGCTCACACAAGCTCATGCGGGAGGGCGCGTGGTCCAGTTTGGCACCAGCTATCATAGAGTGCGATGGTGTCGCTGCACTTCTCTGCAGTGAATACAATGTCTTTAAAAACAGCGGCGCTATGCCTATCTAAATTAAATTAATGCTAACCGTTTGCGCGTCCCGAGATTCAGCGGTGTACGGGACACCCACCCTGCAACTTGCAGGCATCTCGGAACATGAAAGGGTGAAGAGGTTTTCAGCCAATAAATGAGTGTCTATACATATCGGAGGAAACCGGAGCACCCGAAGAAGATCCACGAATGCCGGTGGATAACATTCAATCCCATACAAAAGGGATAGAAAATGTTAGTCCACACTTTGCTGTACCGACTTCTTGTGGTGAGCCAGGGTATGGCACCTCAACATCCACAGGAAAGGAATTTGAGATCCGTGTGATCCACAAACCCTTGCTGTCTCCAGCGATGGATTATTGGCGTGCGTAGCCACCACCGCCTGGCTAATACGAGTTAACATGAGTTTGTAATATTCGTGTGTATCTGTGTGCAAGCTATACTCCCAGCAATAAATTGGCAAATGTTGATAACCGTGGTCTCATTGGAATCAGAATGGTTGGTGGAAGTGGTTCGTTGAGCTTGGAAGTTTCGTTAAATAAAAATGAAGCGACGATGAATTGGTCCGTTACTGAAAATGGGATTCCTACACTCATGATATATTAATTGAAATGTGCATGCGAGAATCAATTATTTACAATGTGTGCTAATTACATGCAAATGATATGCTAATAGTATGCATACGCTAATGGGGACAACAAAACTGTGTGCTACTGCTTTGGCTTTCTGCCACCAGTGTAGTCAAAGAAGAGATTCATCATTTCACTTGTTTATAATTATTTCACTTGTTTACCAAGAAAGGCCTCACCTGAGCCTCGTGACTCTTTTTCAGGAGGCTCCTGCCAGGTTTTTCACCGCAGGGGGCGATGATTTCTTCGTATATATTCCAATGCGGCGTGATTTTGAAAAGTTTAGACCCTGACGCCGGTATGCATCGGCCTATGGGTGTACGTTTAACTTCTTTCGCACCATATATAGCCAACGGTGCTAATCGTCACGGGATCTTTGACGTCCATCGCGAGCGAAGCACGCGGCGCACAGCGTTGTTGTACGGTTGATGCACACCACGGCAATAACCAGAGGACGGGGCTGCTGGATTGGTGATCCTCTGCAACAAGCGGAGAAAACCCGCCACCGCTGGACCACGTCCTTTTATTCCACATTCACAATACGCAACCAAGTAATGGGTGGGGGAGGGGGATCTAATCTATTTTAACTCATTTGTCAAGGGTCCTCAGCCTAAACCATGCGGACAGCCACAGTTGTACAGGATTTGGTGTAACAGTGGCCATGTAGATTTTCTTCCGGCGTTCAACCCAAACGTTAAAGGTGTGTTGCCCCCTCAAAAAAATGTGAACACATAAAATGCATTCGATCATCAGAACCGGAAGCTTATTTCCCACAAAAAAAAGCCCATTGAGCTATAGCTCTTATTCAAGGGCGATTCGACCAGCAATCAAATACCATCACAATATTAATTCACACTAAGGCTGCAGATTCAATTTACAGGAAAAGCTCTATCCGGCACTTTACCATCCGGAATGCTCCATTAATCGGCGTCTGTCATCGACGGCAACACACAACTTCTTCCTCCAAGTATCCGGAAAATTTCCGAAAGCCGTCCAGCATCTTGCCGTGTGCTTCTCATAGATCTGCTGTTTACGGGAGCTTCAGGACATTGGCGAGTGGTGGCGCGCGAGCGGTAGCCTGTACATCAAGTTCTGCATCACTGTGTACTGCACATGCAGGAATGTACCATTGTATACTCTACAACTATAAACGGCCCACTGCTTCTCTCCAATCAACTTAGAATGCTCTACAACTGACTGGTGAGTATCTCTGCAACAGAGGATATTTCACATATCATAGTTAAAATGTAGGCTTAGTTTCTTCCTTCTAAAGTTGTGTGTACTTGAAGAGTTTGCTGAACCATAAGTATACGGTAGATGATCGATTATCCAGCGGCTTAGGGAGGAAGGCGGCGCCGGATTTTCATAAACGCCGGATAATCACTAATCGTGTTTAAAATAGCTTATTTATGCACATTCTTGTATAACATGTTTTTAGGCGTTGTGTATGTGTTTTGGGGGGGTTTTTAATTAGTTTACGATATAAAATTGGCATGAGTAAAGGTACAACTAGACAAAAATAAATATCCTACTGTAACAAGTTACTATATTTACTGTACCGTTCTTCCCACTCCAATCTCGAAGACTCCGCATCATGGGGTGATGTTATATTAATTGTGCTGTGATGTCTCTCTATACTGCTCACGAACGCAATCGAACACATTATCTATTGTTTCAACAACAACAACATAGGTTTGGCGATCGCCAGACTGATGCAGCTTTGAGACCGGTGTTCCGGGGAACGCCAAATTACACGCACACTTTTCGCCGGATTGCATTATATATTTTCTGTTTTTATGAGTTAATAGTTATGAAAAATGTATATATGTGCAGTATTTTCATTGTTTAAGTTGTATGTAGTGTACAATGTACCGTATTCAATAATTGACACACCCGATCGGCCCGGGACCGCCGGATAATGTTGTATGCCGGATAATCGATGATAAACTGTAACTGTCAGATAACCAGCATATTTGATTCACTGGCACCCTCCATTCCCCATGGATAACAGAGCTTTTCCTGTAGTTGTAAGTGGAGTGAGATGAGAGCAGAAATTAGTCCTGAGAGACCCTCCAAGATGGGGAGTACGAGCTTGATCTTGGGACTGGAATGGGAGCCAGTACAGTGGAGGGATCGGAGTATCGGGGTGACGTGGGGTTGACGTGGGGGTGGTCTCACGGGTCAAGAGTCTGCGAGTGGCGTTTTCCTGTTGTTTAGGGAACTTGTTTACTTTTAGTGTCTCGACTCGAAGACAAACATACCATCCACACAGGGCTTCTGGAATGGACTGACGAATACCAGACACCAAACATAGCAAGCACCATTGTGACTGCCCTTTGTGGACTATGCAAAGGCGTTTGACTGATGCATCTGAGCTCTCAAACACCAAGGCCTAACTAAAATAGATATAATTAACACAATTTATAGAAACTGGAACAGCTACAATCTGAGAATGCTTGAAATAACAAAATGCATGAGTAAGGGAGTCGGGAATGGAAACATGC